TTTTTTTTTTTTTTTTTTTTTTTTTTTAAGGGGGGAAAATCATCGAATGACTGCCCCCGCCTGGGTGAGGCGGGAGGGAGTGTCAGACTCTTACTGACTAAAAACCACCCCGTTCCTTCTCCTGCACGTCGAGCCGGAGCCCCGGTTACCCGTTAGGTTCTCCGCGACTCCGAATCGGCATCGGCCCTATTGGGCCCCATCTGTGGTGGTCTGATGGCTCTTTGAGGCGCGCGCGGAACGCGACGCGCCGTACGCTCGGGTCTGTTTCTGGTCGGACGGGGAGCCACCCATGCTCGCCGTCCGCAGGCCCGCGCTTACGGTGGCCGGAGATCGTCCCGCGATCCCCGACGCCCGGTGTGTCCTTCGCGATGGCTGGGTTGCGAGGAGGCAGCGCTTCGCTGCCTCACGCGTCCCGCCTCCTCCTTAGCTAGCATGACTGCTTCGCAAAAGGAGGAGACGGCATCCCAATCCCCCTCGCTCCGCATCATGGCCTGCACTAGGCCCGGACGCGAGAGGTCGCCATCGCCGATCACTTCCCTGAGGACACGGCGGTGCTCAGCCCACGAAGGGCATTCTCCCACCGTGTGTTCCACCGTGTCCTCAGGGCGGTCCTCGCAGTGATGACACCCGGGCGTTTCCTCCCGCCCCATCAGACACAGGTACCTCCCGAAACTTCCATGTCCGGTGAGGACCTGCGTCAGGCGGTAGGTGAGGACGCCGTAGCGTCTCTCAAGCCACTCCTCAAAGAGGGGACTTACCGCTGCGATGGCAGCGAGCCCAGCCCTCGGTTGCGACAGTCGTTGCTGCCATTCCGCCATGAGATCGCGCCGGAGCTCATCCCGCCACGCACTTATCTGGCGCGGCAGCGGAGTTTCGCCCCGGCGACGTGCCTCCGCGCGCATGCTGTGCACGCGCGCGAGCACCTTCGCCTCCAGATCCCACGGCGGTAATCCGGCAAGGAGGTTCGCCGACTCCCCAGAGATCGTGCGGTATCCGCGGATCATTCGGATCGCCATGACCCTCTGTGCCATGAGCAGCGTCCGAGCGGGACGCCGCAACAGGTTAGGCGCCCAAACAGGGGCGCCGTAGAGGGCCATGGACCGCACGACCCCGGCGTATAACCTCCGGCAGGAGGCGTTTGGCCCCCCGAGGTTGGGGAGGATGCGTTTAAACGCAGCCCCCGTCCTCTCCAACTTTGGAGCCAAACGTCGGAAGTGTTCAATGAAGTTCCACCGACTGTCGAGGACGAGTCCTAGGTACTTCATCGTCGTCTCGACGCCGATGGTAACTCCTCCCGCCGTTATTTGGGACCCACCCGGAGGTGGCGCGTTCCCGCGGCCATGAAAACACATGGCCTCGGACTTGTGGAGCGCCACCTCGAGTCCCAACTGCCGGATTCTCTCAACGACTGTCGCAACCGCTGTCGCCATTAAGTCGGCCGCCGCCTGGTGTGACCTCCCGTGCGCTAGCACCAGCGTATCGTCGGCGTAGCATATTGTGCTAACGCCGTTCGGGAGGTCGGTGCGCAGCACCCAGTCATAGCCGATGTTCCACAGGAGCGGCCCCAGAACCGAACCCTGTGGAACACCGCGTGACATCTCTCGCCGGTTCCACTCGCCCCGGTGACCGGGGTAGCTGACGGACCTGTCCGTCAGGTAAGCCTCGATTACACGACGGAGGTAGGTAGGCACCCGATGATATCGGAGTGCCTCCAAGATGCAGCTCCAGGGCAGGGAGTTGAAGGCGTTGGCGATGTCCAGAGACACCGCCACTACGACCTTACCCCTGGACACTGCAGTCCCCGTCGTGAGGTCTCTAACGCGCATGATGGCGTCCACCGTGGAGCGCCCTCTGCGGAAGCCGAACTGGCCGTCCGACAAGTCCGGCCCAATGTCCGTCAGGTGCGCGACGAGGCGGTTCGAAATGATTCTTTCGAAGACTTTCCCCACCTCGTCGAGCAACACTATGGGCCGGTACGCGGACGGAGAGTCCGCAGGGCGCCCCGTCTTCCGCACGAGGACCAGTTTTCCCGCTTTCCAGAGAAGCGGGAACTGGCCTCTCTCCAGACATGCGCTGTAGAGACCAATCAATCGAGGCCCGAGAGCCTCTGAGGCCAGGACCCATGCCTTGCCATGCAGGCCGTCGGGTCCTGGGGCGGTGTTCTTGGCGCCCATCCGGCGCACCGCCGCTCTCAATTCTGCCTCGGTCACCTCTGGGACGATGTCGTCGTCGTCGTCGCTGTAGCCCGCGTCGGGCACCGCAGGGGGCGGAGTCATATACGGAGGGGTGAACCCCCTCCACAGTCGAGGGAACAGGGTGCCAATCACCTCCTCCAAGACTTCTTGCCGGAGACTCTGGGTGAGCGGGGGAGCCCAGGCGCGGAGCTTGTCGCGTACCATCCGGTACGGGCGTCCCCACGGATCTCTGTCCAGAGTCCCCAGCATCTCTCGGCGGGCCTCCTCCTTGGCCCGCAATATCTCCACCTTGAGGAGGGCCTTGGCCGCCCTGTATCCCTCGTACAACTCCGCCTCTCTCGCCTCCGCATTAGGAGGACGGATGCGGCGCCTGCGGTGCCTAGTGTACTGGCGTCGCGCAGCAGTGCACGCCTTGCGTAGAGCTGCTAGCTCTTGCGACCACCAGTACACCTGGCGCTTTTGTTGCCTCGACCGGATCCGGGGCATCGCCACGTCACAGATCCTGGACATGGCGTCCTGGAGCCACTTGGCCTCATCGTCTATGTCGGCAGGCCTGACCGGTGGTATCACCCAGGCCTGCACGATGGCGGCTTCCAGGAGCAGCTCCCGGTCCAGCTGTTTCAGCGCCCAACGCGGGCCACATGGGGCCTGTCTGACCGGCGGGTCTGCGGACTCGGCGGAGACGTCGAACCGGATATACCGGTGGTCGGAGTACGTCTCCACCTCCTCCATGACGCGCCAGCCAACAATACGCGGTGACAGAGCAGGGCTGGCGAACGATATGTCCACCACCGACTCGCCCTGCATCCGCACACACGTGGGGACAGAACCCCGGTTCAGGACGACTAGGCCTGTCTCAAGGGCCCAGTCTTCCACCATCCTACCCCGGACGTCGGTGAACCGGGAACCCCAAGCCAAGTTTTTGGCGTTGAAGTCCCCGAGGACGAGCACGGGGAGGGAACGGAACCCGACGACGACAGTGACCAACTCCCTCAAGGAGTTGTGGAACTCGGCGAGAGTTCGGTTCGGAGAGAAGTACACGCCCACCACAGCGAGCTCTCCGAACCGTGCTGCGACACAACCCCGGCCTCTTTGAGCAGCCTCAAGAGTCGGGGTACCGGCGGCGGCCGACGAGATGATGGTCACCGAGCCGTCCAGGTCCGCCACCCAGTGATCCCTGGGCGGGACAAAGTACGGCTCGGAGACCACGGCGACATTGATTGACCACTGCGCCATGCTCTGGAGCAGGAGATCCTGAGCAGCGGCGCAGTGGTTGATATTCGCCTGGAGGAGGCGGAATGGAGCCATTATTGGCAGTCCATTCCGACCTCCTCAGTGGCGGCAGCGGCGACTGCGGTGGCAGTGGCGGCGGCGGCGGAGACGACGGGGGCGGCGGAGGGCCTACTTTTGCCCTTGGGTTTGGCGGGAGGGGAGCAGCCCTTGCTCCCGACCCGGTGATTGGCCGGCTTGCCAGCCGCCGCACATGCGTTGCAGTGCAGCGGGGCGTTGCACGAGCCGGCCTTGTGACCGGGCCGACCGCAGCGGAAGCAACAGTCGCTGCGGTCCACCTCCGAGGTGCATTTGACGCTCACGTGCTCCCCCACGTGACAGCGGTAGCACCTCAGAGGCCGGGTCTCGAGCAGCTTGACCTGCGCCGAGACCCATCCCACCAAGAGCCTTTTGCCCTCCTTCAGCTTCTTGGCCGCTGTGACGGGGCAGCTGACCACAACAGTGCGCAGCCCCGAGTTGTCCGGGCGGATGGCGCCTGCCTTGATTTGGTCAGCAGGGCACCCTCCCGTCCTGGCCACAGCGGCCACCACCTCCCTCTCCGTTACGGAGTCGTCCAGGCCCAGAATCCTGACATCCAGGCATTTGGTGGGCCTGGACACGCGAGCCTCGTCCGCACCGAGGCACGCCCTAAGCCTCTCGGCCAGGGCGTCGGCCGATGGGCCGCTGGTCGCGCCGGGGACCTCCAAAAGACGGGCTCCGGTAGCGGTCACCTTGACCGCGAACCCGTCTGGCGCCCCGAACTCCGCAGGAGATACCGCCCCCTTCAATTTGGCGAGGACGTCGCCATAAGTGACGCCCCTATTGACCGCCTCGGGCTGCAGCGTAATCACTACAGCCGCGGTCTTAGGGGCGAGGAGCAAGGCAGCAGCGCGTTTCTCCCTGCGCTGCTGCTGCCGTCGCTGCCGCTGCGCCTTCTTGCGGCGCTTCCGGCCCTCCCTGGCGACTCTCCTCGCCTCGCCGGCGATTTGCCACCCGCCGCCGTCCTCCGCTCGCGGGGCGGGTTCCACCACCGCTGCCGCAACTCCAGCCTGCCGGGCTGGAGTGCCTCTCCTCTTTTTGCGCCCTGCGGGCGCTGGCGCCGTCGGCGCAGCTGGGGTCTGCGCCGGCGGGGGCGCCGAGGCCCTCGCTGGGGCAGCCGGTCGCGCCTTTGCCGGCGGTTGGGAGCTGCGGCTAGCCTGACCCGAGGTCGAAGGCTTG